GAGTCACAAAGTCGAAGCAAAGTAGGACAGGGATGAAACAATACTGCGACATCAACATGTGTTTCCAGGCAGGCGCCCTGGTTAGCTGTGTTGTGCACAGTGTGCTGCGTCTCAAGGTGTTTTAAATTAAAGTTTTCGATGACCTAATGGTCGCTTTGACGCAGTCACTGTTTTCAGCTCTGTGGCATCTGTAGCTGTAAGCAACTGGCGGGTCTGAAAGTTTGATTTACTCTCTGGTGCTTGTTCAGCTTTGAGCAAATGTCTAACAAACAAAAACCAAAACCAGCTGCAATAATTGGTTAATATCAAGACATACAAAACAACAGTGGAAGCTGTGATTTGTTTCTTTCAGCTTCTGGTATCTCTTACTGTGAACTTTTTTTAAGTGTAACACATTCATTCTTGTTTTCATTAACAGTTTATTGTTTACTTTGCATGTAAAGGCGACTAATACATTAAAAAACAAGTTGTTAAAATGATGCCAAATGCTGAGTAACTGAAATCACAGTAGCTATTAGCAAAACTGGGTTTTTAATAGTCAAAGACAAACACTTGAAGTAGTTCACTTAGAAAACTTAAATACAGCCACCGCTGAGTTAGCTTAGCTAATAGCAGCGGTAGCTAATCTGCCGTAAAATACGCATTAATCCTAAAACACAAAACTGTAACGGACTGACTGTCCTGTTATTTGTGTGGGGAATGTTTGAGTGTTTGTTGGTGCTGAATGCTGACACACTTAGTGGCGTTTTCCAACGGTTTTTCTGCGTTATTCTCCCCTTTGCGGATGGCAAGTAAAAGTGTCAGCTCGTCCCCCAGCGTTGTGCGCATGCGCGAAGCTTCCGGACGTAAACATTACATGCAAGTCGAACATTAGCATTGCTAATCGATGCTAACATGGTTGCTCAAGATTACACGCCTGCAATTTGCAACTCCAGAGCCGTAAGTGAGTCTTTCTACTCTTAATAACATCGCCTTAAAATACTTAATTATATAACAGCTTTTTAAAATGTGACGGTGGAAAGGAAATGCTAACCTTAGCAGTACAAAAACCCTGCTAGCTAAAGACAAGGGCTACTTTTCCCGAACCATTGTGTGTTGTCCTCTTACGGGACTTCCTTTAAAAATGTAACATTTATTCTCTGTCAATCAATCAATCAAGTTTATTTGTATTGCATATTTCTGCAACAATCCAAAGTGCTTTACATCATTTTTTACTCCTGAAAGTTTAGATATAATTATTATTTAGACGCTACATTTTTATTTTCAGCTTCATTGTTATTTAAGAGTAAGATATTTGTTACTAAATAAGCTGGGTTCTAATCTGATTGTTTTTAATGTTGGCTCAGTTTTGCAGTTAAAGAATCCGGCTGGTTATTGTCAATAAATAAATCAAGTTTATTTCAGCAGCAAGGCAGTTCAACGTGCTTTACATCATAAAAACACAAAATTACAAACTTATAAAGAAAATGTCTTACAGTCAACAGTTGAACAGATGTTACATTTCGATGTGTGCCATTACCCATGCTGGTCAATGTTTCATTTATTATGGGTCAAGTGGGATTTTAGTCTCCTTTCAAAAGGAACTCTGTGCTGCAGCTGTTTACAGTTATTTGAAAATTAATTATAGAAGCACCACAAATCTTTATTTGCTTCATTTGTATGAAGCATCCCATAAATCGTTTGGCTTTCTAAGCACTATCAGAACTTAAAACATTCAACGAATCCTCTTCCTAAGTGACTTTTCTTGATCATAACTGCATATTTTGTGGTGACATGTAACTGTGTTACCATGCAACTGAAGTGATGAACATGACTCATGTGTTGCATCTTCTTATATACATGATGAGTCAGGATGCCGAGGTGTAGCAGGCCTGTTTATGATGTCGGAAACGATCTGTTTGCGGAGGAGGTGTTTCACAGAGTGTTTCTTTATCTGCTCGCTTCCGCACACGTGCTTTCTGCGCAGATATGAGCGCCCGTGCATTTCGTATTTACCAATTCCCTTGCCGTATTAATACGAGCCTGTTATAATTAGCCGGCTCTCTATCTAAAGCAGGTCAGTCCGAGGCTCCTTACCCAAAGTGGGTCACTGCAGATGGGACTGGGTGGAGGAAACCGTAGCAAAGGGAGGAAAATAATTAACCAGACAAAACAACGTGACACTTCTTTAAGCTTCAAAATGAGCATCCGTGAAATGCTTTTGGCACAAAAACATTACATCACCGTTGCATCAGTTGGTGGTGAAGTGCTCTCAGTGAGAGAGCTTTTATTTCTGAGACACTTTAAAAATGTGCAAATATTCCTCAGAAATCCATGAAATCAGTCGAAATATCATTTATTATCTGTAAATAGCACAATCCTAATTTGTGAACGTGCTAAAAGAATGGGAGAATTTTGATTTCAGTTTTCTTTTTTATATCACTGTAATTGTAAAAATAGTTAAAGTAGGGATCAAGATCTGATGTTATATCTCGGTTATGGCTGATAACCAATATTTACCGATATTGTATGTGTTTCACGATCGTTTCGATGCCTCTGGAGAAAAATACTCCACCACAAACGGATCAACATAAATATCAGGCTGTCCATATCGGCCCAGTTTTATTTATCATATTTATCATGTTAGAAAATGACTGATATTGGCCGCAACTGATGTTTGTGCCAATATCTGTTATTCAAGAGCAATTTAACAGTTTAATCTCTTGTTGTGGATGAAGAAGAGAAAAGTGAGTTGAGGAAGAGGATGCAAAGTTTGGTCTTGAAATCAGAAACAAACTCTCTGACAGGAGTTAGCCTGGGTTCATCTTTTAAAAAAAGATGGAGGAAGGGATTCCCACTGGGTAAACTGAGGCCAGGCTCGTTATTCTTTCCTCTTGGTCTCCCTGCAGTTTGTATTTCATCACTGGGTGAGCTGAGGAAGGGCAGGGAGTGTCGGGTTTCCTGTGTGTGTCTGCTTTGGCTCGGCTCAACGCTCACAGATGAGCCCGAAGCCCACCCAGCCACTCCACGGTCATCCCTCACTAATCTGCACAGCTACCAACTGGACATCTCCCTGCTGTTATTTTCTATTTAAAGGGACCAAGTTTAAGAGTCTGGGTCAAAAAGAAATCAGAAATCTACTTCCTTTTGAATTGTCAGTTAAACCTGGCAGATATTTTCAATCAAATAAGAACTATGACTCTTTCTGCTTGTGTTGCATTAATGATCACTTTTAAAATTCAGTAAACTGTTTGACCTCAACACTGTGGAGCAGTTTCTAACTGAGTTCCCACTGGGTAAACTGAGGCCAGTAGTAACTCGTTACATTTATGAGTAACGTTTTTGAAAAAATGCACTTTTAGGAGTATTTTACTGTGTTGTACTTTGAATGACTTTATTATGAAGTATTTCTACTCTCACTTGAGTAAAATTTCTGGATTTTCTATCCTCTGAATGATCCATCATTTCTGTTCCTGTGTTTTTGTTTTGTTCTGTTTTTAGTTTTTCAGTTTTCACAGAAATTTGAGGGACACATTTTGTTCCTTTTTATCCAGAATATCAGAGGAATAAAAGAAAAACAGAAACCTTGGAAATGAAAATGACGCAAGGTAATTTTCATTTTTGTGTCCACCACCACAAAAAAACCAAAACACTTTAACTGAAGGTTAAAGTGTTTTGTCAAGATGCAGCCATTCCTAATTTCATTTTTACAGTGCTATACAAACTACATATGAGTTTTGTTGCTTCAGTTATGATAAATAATGATATATATTTACATACATGCTCAAATCTCATGTATGATTTAGACATTTCTAATAGTTTTTGGAATATTTGTATTATTACGTGCTTTTTCCAATAATTTAATGACGACTCTTTAAAGTCTCGGTTTTCCCTGATCTTGCTAAAATTAGATCTACACTGGAAAAAAATACCCAGTATTATTTTTTCGTCTAGTTCTAGTGCAAATATTCTAGTACTCTTGAAATAATAAAAAAGCAACTTAAAATAAGTAACATTTAAGCAAGACGCAGAAGTTTGTTTTAAGTCAACAATTCCTTAAGAGAACTGCTCACCCACACCAATGTCGATTTATTAGCTTTGAAATCTAAACTTTTCACTGCAAAAACAAATCATGCCAAGTATTTCGGGTCTGTTTTTTAGTGCAAATACAAGTACAGTTGAAATAAGACAAAACTAACTTACAAGTAACTTTTCAGAAAGATATGGGAGCTTGTTTTAAGTCAAAAATCTTTAATATTGATGAAAAAGTTCTAGTTACATTGGCAGGTAGTTTCACTTATAACATGGGAAAAATATCACAATATATGTCAATCTGGTATTATTTTTCATCTACATTGAAGAATTATTGAAGTAAAAAGTTCCTGAATTTTGCTGAAAAGGTACTCATAAGTTATTTCATATTTACTAAGATCTTTTCATGAGAAGCTTGACCGACTTGGTAAGATTTTGGTTTTTGCTGTGTAGAAACCACCCAGGGTAAATGCAGCTCTCAGTAGTTGAAATATCCATTCGTAAAACAGTTCAATCTTTATAAAGAATGATTTACCATGTGTGTTGTGACAGGTAGGCGGGAGCGTCGTTTCTATCTGATTAGCACTAATAGCAAAACCGCGGCGCAGCGTGTCTGATGATGACGAGGACCAGATTCCTGAAATCCCACACTGAAATTAGATCAGACCAATCCAGAGGGAGCGTTTAGAGGTTTGCTCAAACGGGTGTGTGGAGAGAGAGAGGGGAGATAACGCCGGCGAAGAATCATCTGATTATGGAAATAATTAGCTGTCACGATAACAGTCGTCATTGGAAGTGACTGGGTAGATTTATGGAGCGTTGGAAGGACGAGGTGGGCCGAAAAATGTTTGAAATCAGAAGGCATGCATGAGGACAAAGGTTGGAAAAGCATCTTGTTGCTGTTTTTTTTTTTTTTTTCAGCTTTAACTTGTAACAAAGTCGACATTTACTGCACTTTCTGACTTTCTGTTTCCTGTTTCCTGCCGCAGAGGAAGGCGAGTACTTCCTGAAGGTTTTGATTCCCAGCTATGCTGCTGGTTCAATCATTGGGAAAGGAGGCCAGACCATCGTTCAGCTACAGAAAGAGACTGGAGCCACCATCAAACTGTCAAAATCCAAAGACTTCTACCCTGGTAAGGCTCACAAACCCTGCGATGGATGGATGGATGGATGGATGGATGGATGAATGGATGGATGGATGGATGGGTGGATGGGTGGATGGGTGGGTGGATGGTAATGCTTTAAACATGTTTTCACACCTGATAGATTTGGTTTGGAGGACCAAAGTTGCAACATTTGTGACATCTTTAGCTGCTGTGGTTCATTTTCACTCTGAGTCAAACAATCCAAACACTCTGAAAAAGCTGTTCCCCTCCTCACCTGTGGTGGCGCTGCACTGAAAACCTCTGAGGAAAGAAGCAAGAAAATGATACGCTGCACTGACTGCGCAATTTGACATTTAGAAAATAAATTTGCTTAAAAAAACAAAGTTGTTTTTTGATAAAACGTTTTGATGCTAAGATGTTTTTTTTTAAAATTTTTATTAAAATTGGTTTATTTCACAAAAGTGCAGTGGAAAAACTTGTTTCGCATCGCGAGTCACATGATCAACAACCAGATGTTACTACTGGTGAAACCCACGAAGAAGAAGACAGGAATCATTCAGAGGATGATGGCAAAGCATGTTTCCTTTTCACGTGTGATTTTAACTTGTTTTAAGAAACACCACATTTGCGAAATTGTGCATCTTTGACGTTAACGAACTGTCGATGAAGTTTTGCTCGTGAGCACAACAACCTTCTTCACTAAATGTGGGCAAAACTGGAGTAGCGTCAGATTTTAGCAGTTGTACGATTTTTCTTCTGTCTTTGGCAAAAAGACCATGAACTGTTTCTCCTGCTAGTGCTAGGCTATCGCTTTTGTTTTGGTTGTATTTTCCCAGAATGCCCTGCTGTGTAGTTCACTTCCTGCTTTCAGGTACTGGCTCGTTCAAATGCGCATTTGAACTGAACTTTCTAGGCGAAGGGACTGCAGTTTGATAAAAGAGGATTAAACACGGCTGATGTAAATGCATCCTCTCAGTTTTCACCCGTTGCTGTTTTGACGTGGAAGAGGAAACATGTTGACTACTACACACTCAGACGCTCCGCAGAACCACAAATCAGACGAATTTCAAACCGTTTGGAGAATTTCTCCTGTCGGCACTGCTCAGCTGATTTGTCGTTTGGGAGATATTAAATCTTCTGGGACATTATCACACACGCGCGCACACACACCAGCAGAGAGGGATCAGGATTACAGGATCAGACGTTCTGTTTGTCTGAACTCCTAAAGCTGGCCTGACATGACCTGCAGCTGCATGAGTGATGCTAAATGTTTGCAGCGTTTCTTTTAAATCTTCTGCTGAGCTGAAAGTTTCTTTTAACCACGAAACATGGTAAGAATGCTGCAAAACCATGAAACGCTGAAGCAGAGAGGTGTTGATCAGTGTGCAAGTGTTGGCTTATTAATAGATCTTTTAGGTAAAAAATACGGACATATTTAAAACTAGAAACTCATAATTCGCCCTTACAGCGGAGGGATGCCTGTAGGCAGCTGCAACGAATTATTTCACAATCTGTAGCCAAAAGCAGACTTGTTGGAAAACAAGTAGGGAAAAAGCTTTTAGCGATGCAGATTTCTGAGTTTTATTACATATGTGAACTTGTTATTGAAATTCCTTTAAAATATAAAAATCATTTATGTTATGCTGGTTGTAAAAATGTTTATCCATTGAAAAGCTGTGTGTGTGTCTTGGAATGCTAAATAGAAGCTGGAGCTTCTGTTTTGGGTGGAATCACCGTTAGTTGAACTCGGAGCGGTTGTAATGTTTCTGCAGTTTCAGATTTTGAGTCTATGGTTTTTTTCCAACATTGTGTGTTTTATGGGTCGGGGTGAAGCTGCAGCTTCTGGCCGAAACCCTTCGGCTTTTTGAGACGTTAAAGTTTTTTTGATTTAATCTCCGTTTCTGCTTAGTTTTTTTTATTGTGCATTTTTGGCTGAAACAAGAATTTAGCTTGACGCATCATGGGACAAAAACCAAACATTTCTTTGGGTGTGTGCGCTTTGCACATCATCTCGCGCGCAGCCCAGCTGCACCGATGCCTCCTCTTTATCCTGCTGTCTCCCAGAATTTATTGCGCTTTAAACCCGGCTCCTCTTTTGTTTTTATTTTGTTTTTTTATTTGTGTGTTTAAGAGCGTTTGAATTTGTGCATCGGAGGTCTGCAAACAAGCGGCTGTTGTTTGACATCAGTGCATGAGACTCCTGGATGCTCTGCCAGCCAGAGCAGATGCAGGGTTCAAGAGCCTCCAAGACACACACACACACACACACACACACACACACACACACACACACACACACACACACACACACACACACACACACACACACACACACACACACACACACACACACACACGGATGCAACTACTTCAGCTTGTGCAAAGGAAAGAGAGAGAGAAAATGAAAAACTTACATAAATCCAAAGAATGTCTTCACACTGAAACATTGGATGTAAATCTGAAAATATTTGTATGCACACAGACGTGGCTCGTGATCTGTTTGGGTGAGAAAGACGGGAGGAAGGGAGACGAGTGGAGGAATGAAAAAGAAAGAGAGTGTTGTCTGGGACAGAAAGAGCTGTGTGTGTGGGTGTGTGTGTGTGTGTGTGTGTGTGTGTGTGTGTGTGTGTGTGTGTGTGTGTCCTTAAGCCCTTCCTCTGCGCTGAAGGGGGCATCTGTATGCAAATGAGACTTGGTTCTTCCTGGGTAACAAATCAAAAGGCCCACCTGCTGCAGGAGTCTGTGTGTGTGTGTGTGTGTGTGTGTGTCTGATGAAGAGTGGAGAGTCACCGCAGTGTGTTGCCTGAGGCGCCTCGTCCTCCTCATCGTCGCTCTCACACCTTCAGCAGTTCAGAAGTTGCTTCGTTTCACTCAAAGTTGGAAAAATGTTGATGAATTTAAAGACACTCACAAGTTTTTCGAAACAAAAGTATTAAGTAGAAAATGTTTAACATCTAGTTAAACATTTATGTTCAAATATATTTCAAACAGGAAAAAAAACAGTAAAGAATGAGATATAAACTTCAGTACAGTATCAACGGATATTAAAGAAATTGTAAATTATAATGTAAGTTAATTTGAAGTTAGCATTTAGCATTAGCTTCTGGTATCTAGTGAGAGCTAACTTTAAAAGTGCTTTAACGTTAGCAAAACTGTTTATGATCAGCACAATCATCTGTTTTAATTGGTGATTTTTGTACATTTTATGTTAAATTTACAATTATTACTGCAATCTGACAATCTGCAGCTCATTGTTTCTTTCAGCCTCAAAACTATAAAAGGTTTCAGAAAAAAAATTACCTTCATCAAATTGGTCATCAAAGAAAACAGACATTTTATTAAAGCAATTCACTCACTTATAGAAACACAGAAACAAGAGGAGCGCCTCTGCAAAATCAGATAATCAGATATTAGTAGCCTCAATCCAAATCTACAAAATTCCTAAATTATTGTGTCTGAACTGAAACGTGTGGATGTCGCTTCCAGAAATCAGAAAAGGAGGTCAACATTCTCCTCTCCTATTAACTGAATTGGTGTCAGAAATGAGGGCAAATCAAAATCAATTTTTTAATAGGCATTAAAAAACTGCAGAGTACAGAATATGTTGCATGTTTGTAAGCGTTTCATTTGAATTACAAGGAGAATATTCTGTTCAACTCACATCTGTCCATCCGTCCATCCTTCCTGGTTTTTTATTCATCCTTTCGATGCGGCTTCTTTCTGTCCTCCACCATCAATCTTCCTCCTCTTCCTCCTCTTCCTCCATCCCATCTGGAGAATAGTGCAGCAGCAGCACTTAAGGAGACGACCAATTAGCTGAGAGCCGCAGCATCGGTGATGAGACAGGCCACCATTCATCCTTAAAACACACACACACACAGACCACTATTATGGCACAACAGATTTATTACACACCCATACAGTACAAGGCAGTGCCGCCTCTAAATATAGCCTCTATCTGTCTGGCTGCCGCTCTCTGGAGCGAAGTGGAAACCAGACGGACGTCGCAGTCGCTCCGACTTGAGCTGCATCCAAACCGCCGTCGATACGTCAGCCCATCAAAACCGTCCGCTTCCTGCTAAATCTACATTTATTAATTTTTTAAAAAATGTCTCATTGCTAACTGGGATCATCGGCTACATCCCTCCAGGAAGCTAATTCAATCTCTTTGTTCACTCATTATTTCCAAATTTTGTGTTTTTTTGCTAACTTCCTCCAACTAGAACTTTGTACAACTATTGAGCTTCACATCATGTTATAATTTTATTCTCTCATCAAAAACAAAGCTGTAGTCTTGCCCTATTTGTTTCATGCATGCTTTGAGAAATCCTTCAGACTAGCCAGCAGGAATTAGCAGCATCAGCTTAAGTCATTATAGGAGCTACTTCTCAGTGTAACTCTGGTAAAAACTTTGTTCGTTAACAGAGGAGCCATGTTGTGACGAGACAGAGACCCAGTTTCAAGGCGTTGAATTACAAATCAAAATGTCTGCGGAGTTAGTTCTATTTCATCAATATTTAGGAATTATTTACTTAATAAGTAAACAAGATTACTTAAAATTTATTTTATAAAAAAAATACTTGCAAGTTAATTTTATCTTATTTAAAATCTTGTGTTTTAAATGATGATCCTAATGGCAAAAATAAAGCTTAAAATAAAATGTACAACTTTGGTCAGAACAAAATATTTTTTTTAAATCAACAAAATATTTGGTTGATGGGTGTAAGAAAAGCTTTTTTGAAAAAAAAATTTGACCAGCCTGATCATAGCGCTTTACTCATAAATCTCAGTGATTGTTGGTTAATATATTCCAAAAGTTATGAACTTGCATTTCTGATGCTAATGTAATAAATAGCCTCAGGGCAGCAGATGCTCAGAGTGATGGAAGAGCAGGTCATCCCTAAACTCTGGTGAAAGTCCCAACGGGCAGCAGCAACTGGTGACCAGTAAGTCCTTCTGACCAGAAAACCAATCGAATCGCCGTCACTTTGCATCAAATATTCATTTGCTCCCCTTGTCTTATAATT